GTAATGTTTTGGAGTTTTCTGTGAAATCCCACCACATCATACCCTGAGGCAGACTGTTTCTCACACCAGAATGCTCTGTAGAAAATGTTGCTTTTATGCCTGAAAAGCAGCATGGTCAGTCACTGCTCTTTTGCAAAAAAACTATAAGAAAAAAAAAAAAGTGTGTTCTTGTTTTGTTTTGTTTTGTTTTGTTTTGTTTTACCATCTATTGACATGAGATGCAGAAAAAAAAAAAGTGCTTGGAACCACAAAACTGCTAGGGGCTGGGTGGGTCACAAATACAAGTGCATACCCAGAAACTGAGTCAACGATTTGTAGGATGATATGATGCAATCCAGAGAGGGTAAAAAAGATATAAAATCTGTACCCAAATCATCATTCAAGAGATAACAACTTGTTCTGGTATTCAGTACAGTCTGAAACTATGTCAAACTACAGCTCTGAAGACAGAATCATCTTTACTAGAGATAATGTAGTCTTTGATTTGCAAATAATAACATGTTAACTTTGCTGAAAGGCTAAAAAACATCTTTTGACTAGGTGACTAAGACAAAGAAATACAAATAATTAACAGGCACCAAAACCATTCAGAGCGCAAATAAATGGATGAGCACAAGGGGGGATGATTAATTTATGTGGAACTAGGCATACACAGAATGTATGATGAGGATAAAACATCCCCACAATCAACAAAACGTTCCACATTACCCTGGCAACCCTAAGTAACTTTCTGAGTGTATTGTACCATCTCAGCAGGTCTGGCATCTGTTATGCTGCGTGTTGTTTTCATACGCAATTCATATGCATATGCAGTGATTCTCAGTCTTTTTCTTTTACATCCACAGACCATTTTGTGCAAGGCTCCTGCCTGGCTTTTCTTTTATAACTAAATACATCCTAGGCAAAACTTTGAATGTTTGTTTATTCTTTATATAACCAATTTTGTTTGATCAATCGCTTGTGTTTGTAAATATTTTGAGCCTTTGATTTAAATCTTTCCCTTATTTTT